CTGTGCTGACAGCTCAGAGCCCGGAGTCTGCTTCAGACTCTGTGTCCCCCTCTCTCTCAAAAATAAAGATTGGAAAAAATAAAAAATAAAAAACCCAGTAGTGCCCAGGATTCAGTCCTTAGATCTATACCTACGTCTACTTCTTAGACCTATCCCGAAGGCATTATAAGCCATCCAAAAAGTGAGGACTCCCAAATGTCTCCTACCTCCAGGTTTTGACCTTTTACCTGACTTTCAAATTTCCAAATCTAACTGCTTACTTAACATCTTTGGTTGGAATGTCTACTAGGCGTCTCTAGCTTGACATGACCTACACAGAACTCTTGGTTCTCAGACCCACTCACCCAAATGCACACACCCTCCTCCATAAGCCTTCAGTGGGGAGGGGCTCCTCAGGCCAGACGCTTAGGATTCATCCACGATAATCACTATGCTCCACAACCATACTGTCACTACTTCTCGTTAAATCTGTCAGCATGACATACATGAATCTGACACTTTGAGCCAGTACCATTCGGAGTTCCTGGACTACGCTAACCTCCACACTGGTCTTCCAGCCCTGGCCCTCTACAGTCTGCCCTCCATGGGGCAGTCAGCCTGATCTTTTACAAATGTCATTCCTCAGCTCAAAATGTGCAAATTACGTTTCAGATAAAATGCAAACTTCTCACTGTGGCTGCCACCTACCTTCCCGACCCCGTCTTCTCGTTCGTGTACTCACCATGCTCTGATCTTTCTGAAAACACAGTGCTTCTAATGCTTCACATGGTTACCTTCTCGTTACAGTTTCTGACCACACGTCACCTCTTGGGAGCGATGACGGCGGAATATAGTCGCCTGTCTCCCAACTATTTTCCTTTTTTTCTTTCCGTTTACTTTTCTCATTAGCACTTTCACTACTTGAAATCAGGTGCTTATGTGCCTGCCTCCTTTATTAAAATGTAAGCTCCTTGAAAGCAGGACTCTATATCCATGCTATCTTCAGTACCTAGCGTAGTACTAGGTGCAGAGTAGCCACTTAAGTAACTGGCTAAGTTACAGGAAAAGATCTTTGAAAGAGGAGGTTCGAAGGTGGCTTTATTTTTTATCATTATTTTTTAATGTAGATTTTGGAGAGAGAGAAGGGGGAGGAGGGGCAGAGACAGAGGATCTAAAGCAGGCTCTGCGCTGACAGGAGAGAGCCTGATGCAGGGCTTGAACTCATGACCCGTGAGATGGCGACCTGAGCCGAAGTCGGATGCTCAATCGACTGAGCCACCCAGGCATCCCTTTGTTTCACTTTAAAATGAACGTAAAATACTAGGGCATATTTTTATGGGAAATAATCCCATCATGGGAATAATCCTGTAGGAAAAGAAATTATTAAGGCCGGAGCAAGGGGATAATGCAGAAGGCAGACAACATAGATATACAAACAGGCATGTTAATTGGGTTCGAGAAGGGGAAACAAAATAGGATCTGGGACGTTATCGCCATTAGTTCTGTGTAATACTATCCTTGGACTCTGCTGGTAGGAATGCCTTGATTGTGTTCGGAGAAGTCACCCTCCCCATTTTACCCTTTGCATGAAATCGACCCAAGTTCTGTGGGGTACTGAATGTCAGGATACGTCAGGGCTTTACAATGAAAATGTCTTCTTTGCTTAGCTAAAACATGAGAGGCCCAGGGTGGTTTAAAAAAAAAAAAAAAAGCCTGCACCCTTCCCCCCCCCACCCCAGTACTATAAATTAAGAACATGTTCATTCGTCCCTCTTTCTCTTTCAGGAACTTTGTGAAAAACAACATTTGTTTTATGAGTCATCATCAAGAGGAATTAGTGCCAAAACAGCTTCAAAAAAGAAAACCCCCAAGAGCAGCTCTTGGAGTGTAAAAAGCGGTGTGGTAGGGGACGAGCAAGGTGGCTTTCTCCGGAGATCTAATGGCCTCAGACCTTCCACGTGTTGACAAATTAGAAGGGTGTCTTTGTACCAACACCTATTGGCCACTCCCATGTTTTCTTAGGGTCACGGAGCTAGTTTTAGAGGGACACCCTGAAATGATAAGGACAACCTTTCATGTCCACCTGTCAAAGTGTAAATGGGGTGCAAGATCCCAAGTGATCTCTTACTCTGAGTAGGATACTAGGTGAAAAATACTGGCTGGTTCAATACTTCCCACCCTTTTCACATAGCAGCCTTTGAAAAACTATGAACTAGTAACGCGATCAACTTCTGCCTTAAGGTATGTACGTACGGAGGCCAGTCGCAGCTTTATTATCCGGACACGTAAGTGGCCTGGACACGAGCTTACAGGGTTTTTTTTTTTTTTTTGCCCACTACGACAGTACTTACACTGGGTCTTCTGTAAAAAAGAACAGGACACAACGTGGACAATTGCACCTATGTTTTAGATTAGGATAGGATCCTGGCTAGGATTTCAGTGATAGTTCCTAATTATATTTCAACAAGTACAAAGATTATGCAGCTCATTCTATGAATTATGAACAACAGTGTAATGCAAAATACCCCTTTATAAATTTTATGTATTATCACATATTAAAAGAAACAATTCTGCCATAGTTAAGAAAAACAAACACTTTTCCATCCATTTAAAATATATATATATGAATAGAAAAGGCAATTTCCAAATCCTGGGACCATATATACTTAGTAGTAGCTGTTAGTAAAACATTAGAAAAGGAGTCAGGCCATTAGGTTATTTATCCAAATCTCTATAATCAATTAGGTTTGAGTTATGCAGTCAAGCTTATAAAACTCTCTCCTTGTAAGGCTTTCATGACTTAATAGCGATCCATAGTTTCCTGCAATTCTTTGCACTCCTCAGGAATATCACTACCTCAGGTCATGGCATACTGGCTATAATTGATGCTGACTTTCAGATGACTGCAGACATAGGACATCAGGACAACTCTTTCCCTATGTTCTTCTCTATGATGAAACAGAGGTCACCAGCTATACCAGAAGCTTGAGTTTTTACCACAACAATGAATTGCTTTCCTCTGCATTTCTCCAGTTGAATATTAGGACTTGGTGGGGCATTTTACCAATTTGGATATGACGACAGAGAACGTACAATAAAGAATCTTGACCCACTTCAGGAGTAACCCATTAAGTTACTATTATAAGCTATGGGAGGCACACAAAGACTTAAGGCACGAATAACCTAACTTGAAAAAGAGTAACCAATTACGTTTGGCCTGAAGAAAAGAGAATCCTAAGAGCCAAACCCTTCGTTATTTAGGTTGGGATTTTCCTACTGGCCCCAAACAAACTGCCCCAGTTTGACAGAAGGGCATATGACCTAGTCATTTCCCTACAACAAAATGGAAAGACTACAAATCTGTATAATTAATAGGGAAACTGTACTAGCAGAGACTCAGGAGAATGACTAAAAGTCCTGATTCTGAAACGAATTACATAATGAAAATTGGCAGGGAAAGTTATGAGGAAGGGAGACTTGAGACCTTCCTTCTACCACAGCAGATTTCCTATGCAAGTTAGAGCATGTGTTGGGTGGTTGTGTTTTTTGGAAAAAGGAAAAGTGTGTTCTAGAGGATCAATTTAAGAAATTTATTATGAATCTTCAGTGGAATTAGATGCTGAGATTTTTTTTTTTTTAATCAAGACAGGGAATTGATACAAATTTGTTTTCTTTGCCAAGCATCCCAGATTGTGAGATATTTAACAAAACTGTTACATGTTCCCTTCAAAGTCTGAGCACTACGTATACATTAGCAATTTGTTTTAGCCATTCATCATAAATGGGTAGGAAATTGTTCATAAACTTAGGTGGTTTATCACTGGTGATTTCAACTTCGGTATCTTAAACACTCTTACACGTTTCTTTTATTACCCTGAGTCCGTGACTAAATAATTCTGTCTTCGAACCAACTTTTACCCAACATGTCCCCAATCAGAGCTTTTTTTGGTTTTCAAAAATAAAAAAGGGGGAATACTTACAATGTGTATGCATATATTCACAGTTTTTATTTATCAAAAAATTTACAGCACTTGTGAAGAGCCAGCAGAAGACCTCAGACACGCTCATTCTTCCCAGCTTTGTTAAGTTTAGTGGGTCAGCCAGGACATTTTGCCAGGTGACGCTCACACAGCAGCCCTGAAACCTAAACTGGTTAGATTGTCTTTCTTCCTCTTTTCTGAGAAAGCGTTTTGATGCGCTACTGATCTACCCACTTTTCAAGTCACTCGAATGCTGAAAATATTACAACATCTGGATCCGCACATTGGCCATATAATCATGTTTCCCCCCCCCCTTCCTACATTTCTTTTTGGGGGGAACGTTACAAAACAGGTCACTTGTTACTGTTAATTAAAGCTAAGTGGAAAATCTCAATTTTTAAAATAGTCTGCCCGGAACCTGTAACTTCTTCACGGAATGGTATCCTCTGTATTTTATGAGGTCTACCTATCATATTGGCTCTTAACATGAAGCAAATAAACACGATGTAAAAAAAAAAAAAAAAAAAAAGAGAGAGGGAGAGAGAAAGAGAGAGGGCACATGGAAGTTTGAAAATCAGAAGTCTTTCACAAGAAAGAAAATATATAATTTATTGCCCGCCCGCCCCCCCCCCCCCCCGCCCACCATTAAGAGAGGCACAGTAGGGAAAGGCATCGAGAGGAAAGAAGATAAAAATAAATCTAAAATAACGTGTGTTGTTCAGTGCAGGACGTAAGTGAAGTTTGGGAGACTTTATGAGATGGTGAGGAAAATGGACTCGAATATGGAGGTTAGGACGCGGCCATTTCTCATGAAGCTTTCAAAACGTTTTGGAAATTCAGGTTTTAGTGGAGGATTGTGTTGGAATACTGTCTCTAGTAGGTTTCTACTGAGAAGCTAACTGCACTCTCCACTCAACTTCACTTCCCGTTGAAATTACTGTGGGTTCTACCGAATTCCTCACCCCAGGGGTGGAGCACAACTGCAGCCTGATTCGCACGCCACCATCCCAGGGCTCACGCGGGTGAGCCAGAGAGCCAATGTTTCACACATGCACATTTATTGTCATTTTAAGAGGAGCAATCCCAAATACTGGATAGGCAGTCACTCTTCAGCTCCATTAAATAAGACACAGCAAGGGGAAAGACATGTCTTGCAAAATGGCTTTCAAGTTCAAGTTGAACTATATTATAATTATACTGTGGCACAGAGGCAGCTTGTGGGCACTTCTTGTTAAAACAGCACAACGTATCAACTTCTGACAAGACTCTTAGTATAGCCTCGAACACCAACCTCAGATTACTACTTTCCTACAACTAGAGTTGAGTCTTACCAGAATCACAGAAGTACATACGAGGTACAACCCATCACAGCTTCTTTCTCACATCCATCTCATAGGTAAGAGGTTTTGCTTTTTAAAACTACAATTCTGTAACTTTTAAAAGATATTTAACATTTTCTATCATATTAAATTAGCAACATAAAACATTATGCTTAATCTATAAAGTTCTACTCCGGTTCATTCCCTAGAATTTATACACATATTTTTATTTCTAATCTGCAAGAAAAAATTGCCTATTTGATATTTGGTAACAGAGCATTAAAAGATACTATACACACGTGGCATATATATATTTACAAAATACACTTCAAAAAGAAGCCAACACACTTTTAGCAAAAGTCTAAGCTTGCATAGATCAAAAAGAAAAAAGAATTGTGAATACAATTTTTGTTAAAATAGAAAATGGGGAATAAAAGTTACAGAATGGATATGAAGAGAGATCTTTTCCAAACTTTTATTTGTGCACATTCAATTGAAAAAGATAACTTTTACAGGTTCTTTGGTGCCCATATTCAGCATACAAAAATGTAAAAGACTATTCACAAATAAAACACATTAGCTCAAACTGGAAAAAACTAATGACAACAACAGAACAATTTAAGGTAGTGCACACTGTGACAGCTCTGCTTTCGGGGACATGAGAATTACTGCGAAAATAAATAGAACGTCCTTTTGTAAAAGCAGCAATGTCATGTCTTGTAAACTTCCTTTTTATATTACAGCAAGGTCTGAAATAAAATCCAAAGGGCCTGGAGCTTACACTGTAGCCGTGAATGAATAAAAGAGTCTATTTCCTCAATTACTGTTGGTCCAGTTTTCCTTTTGTTTTGAGTCCAATGTGCAGCAGGTTTTAAAAGGTGCTCAGTTAGGGATTCTAACCAATTAAGCGATGAATTATAAAATTTCTTTCCTGCTTTCAAACACAAACGGGTAAATCTGTTCCACAGCAGTAGCAACAGCCTTTACGTTGGGCCCTGTACCAAACACAACAGAGAGAGGAAGGGGTGAGAAGAGCGCCAGGAACGCGGATTTCCCAGAACTGAAAATATATGGGGTTGTTTTTAAAAAGATCTACACTTTACATAGTCAGACGGTCACAGCAAAAACCAAGAGAATAAAATTCTCTCTGAACAGTTCAAGGCAATCTGAAACACCAATGATGTGATTCGTCTTGTTTTCGGGCCCCAGGGTGAAGACAGTGAACATAAAAACCACACACAGACTGCCGTGAAGGAGAATAAGAAGCGATGTGAGATACTGATTAAAGGAAGGAATGATAAACGGGAGTAGACATTTTGGGCACTATCCTTTTGGTCGCTGTAGTCTGGCTTTGGTTAGGCCGCCTCTGACGCTCACAGGAGTGCTGAGGAACCCAGTGAAGTACAACAAGCCTGCTTCCAAAGTTCTGGGAAATCAGAGGGCTGTGACTAGCTAACTGGTCTAAAACGCCCCGCAGATTAGTACTCACTACCCACCCCCACGTTTATTACTAACATGGCCATTCATCCTCACAGTTCACTCAGTAAATAGGGGCGCGTGCACGTGCGCGCGCGCGCGCGCACACACACACGGGAATGAGGTAACGCTACATATGAATTAATCCATATAATGCTAGGAATAACTAGTTTTTAAAAAATTTAATATTCCATTTGAATAGATAAAAGGAAACATAAAAAAAGACCAAATATTTTCATAAAACATTTTAATAAAAATGGTTTCACTAACATATGCTTAACTCTTTTGAAAGATCTTAAAAACACACATATTGTACCCACTATGAACTCTCTGAAGGTACTGACCACATGCTATCAGGGTCTGCTCTTTCCTGATTCCTCTCCCTTCCCCCACATAGGATAGTGCTTTGCCTATGGGAACCACTTAGTATCTGTTCACTGAATTGTTAACATTTCATAGGATGTTCCAGATGTAAATATATAACGTATACTAATCAACCTGTCTTCAGTTTGTGATGTTGTTTAGTTACCTATTAACTCAAATGTAGATTTTACCTATGCATCATAAACTCTACACTTAATGGGGACTTCTCAACAGATTTTGGGGCTCTGCAGAGGCCTAGGCTCCAAAACGTAAGAAGAGGCAGTTGAAAGAAGGGAACAAATGGATTTGCTCCCCCACACTCCATTTTAAGATTTCGGCATGACCCTGGCAGTAGGTTTTAAAAGTCTCCAAGGAAGATGTGAAAACCCATAGAATGAGTCAAAACTAAAACTTACTTGTTCAGAGTCTAAAGGTGTTGGTAACGTGTATTTTCTCTTAAGGACTAAAGGAATAAAAAGAAAAATTCAAGGACACCAAAGAAATTTTCCTGAATCCAATTTAGTCAAAGGTTGGGCCTAACTCTCAAGTGATGTCTCCGTACAATTTATACGCACAGTACTTTTAAAAACCATCCTGTGTGCTAATGTGATGCTTTGACATCTATGCCTTGTCTTTGAAACCACCCCTTCCAAATACTTAGGACTCAGAAGATACATAACAAAATACACATAAGACGTGATAAATAGGCACCAGTGATATATGAGTATTTTGCTTATGTAAAACCTCTATGAAGTTTATGAAGTGGATTTCTCTTAGGGTGCCTGTGTGGCTCAGTGGGTTAAGCGTCTGACTCTTGATTTTGGCTTAGGTCATGGATCTACAGCTACGTGGAATAATACGAATGAATCTCACTAGATAATAATGAATGAAAGAACACCGACCCAAAACAGTATGTATAAGACTTAAAACTAGTAGAAAAAGCAGGGAAAACGAAACTACAGTTTTAAAAGTCAGGAGACTGGTTCCCTTTGTAGGGCAGAAGTGACTGAAGGGGGACAATGAGACAATATTTATATTTGGATATAAGCACTTCATTCAAACCATAATTGGCCATACGCTTGCTTTCAGTATCATAAAATACCTGTTACTGTGATACTTCCCGTTGAAAAAATCTGTAACGTAGCTCTTAGAGATTTTATCCGATAGCACACAGCAGGATGAAGTTCAGGTTCGTAACTGTACAAAAAAAAAAAAAAAAAAAAAAAACCACAATTAATATAAATATTTATAGGCTGACAAACAATTACAAATTTGGTAAGTTGTCCTGATTCTTCGAAGACCTACCTGGCATGAGGTCTATTGTTCTTTGTGAATTCTGGCAAACGGATTTCAAATGGCATATTACACACCGCCAAAACGTTAACGACCTTAAAATCTGTAAATATTACCTTCAGGAGAGAAGTACAACTCAATGAATTATTTTGCAACAAAAAAATTGCTCAGCAGAAAATAGAAATTGTTCATCAGGGAAACTATAAATAACTGTTTCAATCCTTAAAAGAACAAACTAGAAAGAAAAACAACACCTGACGAACTGATTTAGTTTTCGGTGACTTCTTACTACCATACAGGTGACCCTTGAACAATGCAGTGATTAGTGCCCCTGCCAGTCAAAATTCCATGCATAACTTCTGACTCCTCAAACTCAACTACTAATAGCCTACGATTGACTGGAAGCCTTACCCATAACATAAACAGTCGATTAACACATATTTTGTATACATATTATATACTGTATTCTTACAATAAAGCTAGAGAAAAGAAAATGTTATTAAGAAAGTCATAAGGAAGAGAGAATACATATATGGCACTGTACTATATTTATCAAAAAACATCTGTACATAAGTGGATCCGCACAGTTCAAACCTGTGTTGTTCAAGGGCCCACTGTAATTAAAGAAAAAGGTCAAAAACTTCATCAAAAAATTAAAACTTGAGAGATTTGCAAGATTAAAACATCTGGGTCTTTTGAATCTTATCTTGTGTTTTTTTAAATTTAAGTGGGATATTTAATCTGCTGGGACAGGAGAAAGAATAGTGATTATAAAAATTAAAGCAAAGTTATCCTTCTCAAGAGTCAAAATGGAAGTTGCCACTTAAATAAGTAAATACTGAGTATACGCTGAGTCAATACTGAGTACTGCGTGTACACTGAGCTCTGAAAGGTCAGACTTTTGCTTATAGGAGTAAGGTAAAATGATCCTTCTGTGAGTTTAGTTAGATGTTTTCTTTCGGGAGGGTAGAGTGAGAAAATGGTGTTTTTAACTGGGATTTTTCTCAACACGTCTAATGTTATACTAAGGCAAGGTCCAAGGCTGAAAAGTAACTTCAGCCACTCCTACCAATAACTTGAATGGAGCAGTTTATTATCTTTTGAAACATTCCCAGTAAAACCACAATTCTGGGTTAACTATCTTCCATCGGAGTACCTGCACAAGGCAGCTGATGAAAGTCACTACGCTGTCCAAAGTGGCCCCACCATCAGTCACGACTCTCAATACTGCCACTTTTCTTAAGCACCAACCCTCCCCCTCTCCCACCATCAGTACCCCGGTGCCTTTCTAGTATCTTCCACCTCAGGGAAGACTGAGAAAGACACAGAGAAACTCAACTTCCCACAACTGCTCATTTGAATTCCACACAGCCTGGGCCCATCTCTTCAGGGACCACAGCACATCTTTATTTTTCTTTCGTTGACTCATCATTTGCAAGTGACATAACAAGTCCATACTACATAGCAATTTTACCAAATGTATGCCTCCATAAAATGGTATTTGATAATTTGACAAATGTATGCCTCCATAAAATGGTATTTGACATCCCAGTGATGGTCACTTTACAAGTAAGAGCCCACCAACCAGTATGCACTTTCTGTGGACTAAACTGTGGATCTAACACAGCAGGCCAATCTTACAATGTCCGTTTTCAAACACTGTGCATTTTGTTTTGGACTTATGCTATTTTTTTTTTAAATGTTTATTTTTGAGAGAGCGTAAGTCGGGGAGGGGCAGGAGACAGAGGATCTGAAGCAGGCTCTACACTGACAGCAGAGAGCACGATGTGGGGCTCAAACTCATCAACCATGAGCTGAGCCGAAGTCAAGAGCCGGACGCTCAACCGACTGAGCCACCCAGGTGCCCCGGGATTCATGTCATTTTTAATACAGCTGATTGATTTTACAAAATGCAGCCTTTCCTGAGTTCTTATACACAGGTGTATACTTAGTATTAGTTATTCAAGTGAATCCTTTTCAACTTACACCAGCAAATGCTGTTATTTCTCAAGCACAGATTCAGTCAGTTCTGCATATTTTTAAATAATCACAATTTCCTGTTATAATGGTAATGCTGTCACTAACCATAAAATGTAGGAACACTGTTTACTCTTAGCCATAAAATGTATAGATCTAGGCAAGTTCCATTCTAATATCTTTTTTCTTCTTTCTAATTTATGTGATAGCTATCTACAAATAAAAACAAATGCGCTTCAACTCTTTGAACGTAGGGCCCTACTCCCTACTCGTCATCCTGACAAACTACTCTTGAGGTCATCAAAAACATGACTTGGTGTGTGTGTGTGAGGAGTGAACAACCTGAAGAGCTGAAAAGGCAGGTCACGTGTAAGGTAACAAGCGTCTCTGAGAAAGGGGGCAGTGAAAAGGCCAGGATCCTTGAAAGGACTCACGTGGGTAAGCTCACTGCGTAATTTGTGTACTGAAGGACGGTAAGAAAAAGGCCAATCGTGAGGAAGTTTTTGTGTGATTTCTTCCGTCTATTAAATTAAAAAGTTTACCTTTACAAACTAAATCCCTTCATATTTGCAGTTTGGATGTTTTTTTTTGAAAACATTACCTGAAAACCTAGTTTCTGCAGACTGCGGGCTAAACGTCTGGCACCAAATTTTGCTTCTTCTTCACTACGGTTTTAAGGAAACGAAAAGATTATCAGTCACACAGGAAATAAACTTTATACTGACAAACATGACAAACGACACACATGATTTTAAGTCCAGGAAAACGTCCTCCCCTTGTACAAAGGAAACATTAAAAGTCCAAGGAAAGTTTACCTTGTTGCTCCAGTGCAAATAATTTTTCCTGAGGACCAAATTGTAGCTGTGATTCTAGGTTTCCTAAGCTTCATTAATACTTTCTGCAAAAAACAACACACACACACACACAAAACCCAAAACCTGATTACACATTAAATATTAATTTTCACTTACGGTGCTGCTCTACGTGGCCATTTTAACACAAGTTGACTACTCGACGCTTACCCACGCCTGAAATAAATAACTGTTCTCCAAATCATCCATTCGGAAATCGAGCTCCATACCAAACATAAAGAACATATTAATCCAAAAGGACATTCAATTAATCAAAAATACAAGGTCTGCATAAACCTCTTACTATATACTTGACATCAATACGCCACGAGTCTGTACACTTTCCAACTCTCATTCCCCGCTGGTTACATAACTGGAATTTGCAATTCGCAATCCACATAAATGGATCCTTAAACATGCCAAACCTGTTCACACCTCAGGGGTTTTGCAGTAATTGTTACTGTCATCCGGAATGTTCTTCCCTCAATATTCTCACTTGGTTCAAGTCTCTCACCAGATGTCAGAGAGGCCTTCCCTGACCACTCCATCAATGCACCCGTCCCTTTGTCGCTCCCCACCTCCTACCTTGCTTTATTCTGCTTCACGGTACTCATCGCTACTTTCTGTACCTTACAGTTGAGATGCCTACTACATGTTCGAGTTCAATACACAAATCTTGAATGCAGGGGAAACGGTGGAGCTGGAGATGTAATTTTAGATTCCTTAGATATGAGAGCCATTTAAAGCTGTGGGTTTGAATGAAATTATCTACAGAATGAGCATAAGTCGGTCAAGGACGAAGGTCCAAGAGAACAACAAATTTAAGTTTTCATTGTAGTTTTTCATTTATGGAAATATTAATTATATGCCCACTGTGCATAAGAGAAGTAAATGTATACTGATTACGACAGCAAATGAATCAGACGTTTCTCCTTCAAACGTCCGTCGGCATTTTGAGTTTGGCCCTTTCTCTGTCATATGCCGTATTACCCACCTATTATCAAAGCTATTAAATCTGGAAGGATAAAATTTCCCAAAGAGTCAAAATAAAATCTGAACTAAAAGATAGTATAAAATTTCACACACAAGTGGCTGGGAAACACTAAATGAGTTTATTCTGCACTTAAGTGCCTTTCACCACCTGCTTACCATCAACTCAGCCTTTTCAGTTCATCTTCCTAGGAAAAATGACTTCCCTGTCCCATGGCACACACAAGATCCAAAGCAGCACGAGGCCTTTTACTCGCTAACCTTCTTCAGCGGACATATTCCTTCCTTTATTTAGGTGACGATGGCATTGCTGATGAACTTGAAAATCTTTAATTGTGTCACTATTAAGTTTTAATTGAATTCAATTCCCCTTAACTTAGTTTGTAGTACTAAGAACTAATAATTTACTGAGGTATACTGGCACCTAATTTTTAGAGCTTGGAGCCTTCATATACATTCAAAATTTTCATAATAAATGTATAAGATACACATTTCAACATCATGTGGTTTACAAAATCCAATGAACACGTATTGTCACTTCTAACGTTAATCTTCAATAAGGTTAAAGGCAAGTTATCAATGCTTTTATTTTAAAGAGTAGAGGTCTAACAAAAACTAAAATTGAAAGTATCCAGGTTAGGATATGAATCATATTATTTTCAGCAATGTGTTACTAAGAATACCAACTATTTTATTTTAGCTAAATAAAGAGGGGTATGACAACATACTACAAAAAATCACAACATATGTATTAGGACCTCATTTGTATCATGCATCATTCATGCAACTAAAAAATTATATTTGAATTAAGTATACACCACTGTACAGATATCCCCTTCTTCAGTTAAAAGAAATTAAGAGAAAAAAATGTCTAGTAGCCTGTGAATTCTTTGCTAAGACTTAGAGATGTGTATATGCAAAAGGTGGCACTTCATGGGAGCGGGGGGGGGGCGCTTCTACAGGGCTCCATATTGTACTGAGTACAGCCGGCACTTGGTAATAAGGTGCTCTGAAACTATCGGTAAGTGAATATATTTTAGTATGTCATTTATAGCACTACAAAACCAGTCTATGTAGCCCACACGCCAAAATTTAGATACTTACTCCAACATCACGCTTATAAATTACATTTGCTCCCTCCAAAGCAATCTTCCTTAAGTTCAAATGGCATCTTGTTCTAAAAACACAGACTACATTTGTAATTAGAATGTCCAATGCAACATCACTGTCTGCATCCATTGGGGTAGTTTAAAAACTGAGCTTCCCACCACGAAGATCACATCCTGAGAAAGAAAACAAAATAAAGTAATTACACTTAAATATCCTGTTAATTTATTTTTCATAAATAGTCTTGAAAATTAAAATATAAGAAATGAATTACACTATTTAGTTTTCAAATATGACTCAAACCAAATCATGTCCCTTCTTTTCCTCACTAAAAATGTCATTTTTTTTTTCAATGTTTTTATTTATTTTTGGGACAGAGAGAGACAGAGCATGAATGGGGGAGGGGCAGAGAGAGAGGGAGACACAGAATCGGAAACAGGCTCCAGGCTCTGAGCCATCAGCCCAGAGCCTGACGCGGGGCTCGAACTCACGGAGCGCGAGATCGTGACCTGGCTGAAGTCGGACACTTAACCGACTGCGCCACCCAGGGGCCCCTAAAAATGTCATTTTTAAAAAGATAACAAACATGTCGTACAGAATCTTTCAAAATCCGGACCTTTTATTCCTTACAATTAATAAGTAACATTTACGTGCCAGGAGCCTACCAGACTTCTCTCCTGCTACTTCCCTTTACAACCACTATGTTTCAGGTGTATCATAATTATGGCAATTCTCCAAACACACCAAGTTTAAGGGTGGGACTTTGTGGTCCCAATGTCCAATCATTAGTGGTACTGTAACCCGCCTCATACAACTTGCCAGGGTGAAAAGAAGGATGACCTGTCTTTCCTCTATTTTAGGTAACTGACTTACCTGTTTAAAGAAGCAGAAATATTAATTATAATATTAATAGATTTTTCTCATTTACTAGTCAGCCATTCATTATTCACTTACTGAATACCTTCTATGCACTGAGGACACCAGGAAAAAAATGAATAAGGCAAAATCTTTTGTCATCAAGGAGCTCACAAGTCTACGAGTGTAGGAAGAAGCTCTCACAAATAGCACACCATTTTCGTCAGGATCAGTCTTTCAAGGTCTGTATCCTTTTAAAACTATGATACGAGCACTTCTATAAATGAACCAACAAAAAAGAGCCCCAGTTTTTACCAGTAAGCATATGACCCATTTCCAGTTAAAAAATTCTGACCAGGTTTCCACATCTTAAAAAACAAGTAATGGTAATTTAGTTCACCTAACCCACAAAGAGAATACCAGAAAACAGTAACAATACCATTGTAATGATCTTGGGGATCCCTTGCAGCTACAATATGATAAACTAGTATTCTATATAAGGATTCAAATTATTGTATGACTAAAACAACGAAGATGCCAAGGGTCCCGATAAAGAAAATTCAAGCTTGTTTTCCTGCCGTTTGGGATCTGACAGAACACAAGTCAGACCAGACCTGTGGCAACTCTCTAGGATGATGGAGCCTTCAGTTCTGTGCACCACCTGTATCTCCGCTTCACCAATTTCTGACTTTTATGTTCCCTTCAATCTGCTTATCTCCTTGTTTTGTTGTTTTCTGTGTATCTCTAAGTCAACTCAAATAATTATTACGTACAAGGGATGGGGCAGGAGTAGCAGTGCATATACAAGTAGACGGATTACTAAAGAGGATGCAGGCAGTTATCAACACTCATCTTAAACAGCAGGATCAATATCCTGACTCCCCACACACCAGGTACGAGAACCTGAAAAAGGTATGCAATCTATCTGTGCCTCGGTTTTCTCATTTGTGGCATGGAATATAGTGTCCTACTAGAACGTGTTGTGGGGATTATACAGAGTGTATAAAAAGTACTTAGCATACATATTTGGCAATAACACAAAAATGACAGTTAATATAGATAAAATAATCAATAAGCAGAGATCTCTTACTACCATTTCCCATGATTATATTATAGCCCAGATGCTGAGCCATATAGACCTCACCAGGTTTTCTACTTTCCTGTAAAAACTATGAAATAACTGAGGTAAAGAGGCTCTTAGCTGCATACCCCAACATCCATTCCACCCTTCCTGCACAGTGAACAGAACCCAGGTGTCTGGGAGAAATAAAATACTATACATACTTTCAAGGCTCCCTGGGAACAGGTAGAGCCAAGGGGCCACACGATCCTGTCACGATTAACGAAATGTAAAATGAAATGGTTTTGTATCTTTTGCGAAGAAAAGATTGCTTAGAGTGACCAAACTAAGCCAGCCAAGACCCCTTTTGCCTTTCTACCCTTCTTCACTTTTATTGCCTGGACTTTAGATGTAAGAATTGGGAGCTCAAGTAGCCATCTGATCATGAGACTATGAGATAAGGGCAGTGGAACAGTAAGACAGAGCAAGCCAGAGTCCCTAATCCAATGGAATTCCTTATTACCCCTGTACTTCCTAATTCCAGACTTGATGAAGGTGGGAGAAAAATCAATTTCCATCTCAAGGCCCTCACCTGCTGAATTTCTGTCATATGCAGCCAAGCCTAATCCTAACAGATGCACATCCCAAGAGACAGGCTACAGAAAGCACTACTTAAAAAGAAACTCGTATGAAGAAACTGTCAAATTTACTGTTTCACACAGATTTTGTTTTTTACATTACAACAAATTAAAACAAATTAAGGCGAGAATACCAGGACAATATGTAGGGTAAAAATAAGTCAAGAAAGTAGGTATAAAGCAAATCTCGGTGACTGCAAAGAAGACTTGAAATTAATACAATTGTGCCTGTACTTTAGTAACTTAAACTCTAAAAATGAGATCACAGGCATAGTTCATCCTAAGTTACTCAATGTTCATATTTTAGATGAATATAACCTGGCAAGCAGCCTCAGAAAACACTATTGCTTTAATACGTTTTAAATCAAGGACAGAATATGGAGTCAGTACTTAAAAAAGAATCAGGCGGGGCACCTGGGTGGCTCAGTCGGTTAAGCGGCCCACTTCGGCTCAGGTCACGATCTTGCGGTCTGTGAGTTCGAGCCCCGCGTCGGGCTCTGTGCTGACAGCTCAGAGCCTGGAGCCTGTTTCAGATTCTGTGTCTCCCTCTCTCTGCCCCTCCCCCGTTCATGCTCTGTCTCTCTCTGTCTCAAAAATAAATAAACGTTAAAAAAAAAAAATTAAAAAAAAAAAAGAGGCGGGGCGCCTGGGTGGCTCAGTTGGTTAAGCATCCGACTTCAGCTCAGGTCATGATCTCACGGTCCAGGAGTTCGAGCCCCACGTCGGGCTCTGTGCTGACAGCTCAGAGCCTGGAGCCTGTTTCCGATTCTGTGTCTCCCTCTCTCTCTGCCCCTCCCCCGTTCATACTCTGTCTCTCTCTGTCTCAAAAATAAATAAACGTTAAAAAAAATTAAAAAAAAAAAAAAGAGGCATCCTACACGAAAGACTCCACACTTCTGAAGCATTACAAACAAACAAAAAACCTACTTGCAGTCAATTTAGCTATCTTGTAAAACAAGAAAGCAGTGCTGGATATTAACAAAGATTCACCCCACAGCTAACATCATACTCAATGGTGAAAAGCTGAAAGCTTTTCCTCGGAGATCCGGAACAAGTCAAGGATGCCCACTCTCACCATTTGCATTCAACACAATATTGGAAATCCTAGCCAGAGCAGTTAGGCAAGAAAAAGACAATGCATCCAAATTGGAAAGGGAAAAAGTAAAATTGTCACTTTTTGTGGATGGCATGATTTTATATATAGAAAACCCTAAAGACTCCACCAAAAACACTTTTATAACTAATAAATGAATTCAGGAAAAGCTGCCAAGTACAAAATCAATATATAAAATCTGTTCTGTTTCTATATACTAACAACAAACTATCAGAAAGAGAAATTTTAAAAACTCAATTTATAATTGCATCAAAAAGAACAAAATACCTAGGAATAAATTTAAACAAGGAGATGAAAAACCTGTACACTGAAAACTGTAAGACACTGATGAAAGAAAATGAAAAACAAGTAAATGTATATTACATGCTCATCGATTGAAAGAATTAATAGTTAAAATGTCCATACCACTCAAAGCAATCTAGAGATTCAATGCGATCGCTATCAAAATCCCAATGGTATTTTTCACAGAAATAGAACAAACAATCCGAAAATTTGTATGGAACCACACAAGCAATCTTGAGAAAGAACAAAGCTGGACTCCGATTTCAAACTATATTACAAAGCTATAGTAATAGAGATCAGAACAGAATAGAGAGCTCAAAATAAACCCATGCACATTCAGTCAACCGATGTATGAATAAGGAGGCAAGCACACACAATGGTGAACAGTCTCTTCAAAGAGTGGTGCTGAGAAACCCGGGTAGCCACATTCAAAAGAATAAAACTACACTCCTATCTTACACCACACGTAAAAATAACACAAAATGGATTAAAGACTTGAATGTAAAACCTGGAACTATAAAACTAGAAGAAAACGGGTGGTAAGCTCCACGATACCACCAGTCTTCGCACTGAATTTCTGGATCTAACTTTAAAAGCAAAAGCAACAAAAGCAAAAACAAGCGAGCGATACATCAAACTAAAAAGCTTCTGCACAGCAAACAACATGAAAGGCAGCCTACTGAATGCGAGAAAACTGCTGCAAATCATATACTCAGTAAGATGTAAATATCCAGAAAATAAAAAGAACTCTTATAACTCAATAGCAAAAACAACAAACAATCTGACTAAAAAATGGGTAGAGGAACTGAAGAGACATTTTTCCAAAGAAGGCATACAGATAGCCAACAGGCACATGAAAAGATATTCAATCAACATCGCTAATCATCAGGGAAAAGCAACTCAAAACCACAAGGAGAGATCACTGCACATGTGTTAGAATGGTTGTTAACAAAAAGACACACAATAACAGGCGCTGGTGAGGATGTGGAGAGAAGGGAAAGCTTGTTCACTGTTGGTGGGAATGTAAACTGGTGCAGCTACTGTGGAAACAGTATGGAGGTCCCTCAAAAAATTAAAAACGATCCAACAATTCCACTTTTGGACAGTCATCTGAAGGGGAAACATTAATTTGAAAAGATATATGCACCCCTACATTCATCACAGTATTATTTACAATAGCCAAGCTATGGAAGTAACCTAAATGTCCACTGATGGGTGAATGCATAA